AAATGTTGCTTTTTCTTTTTTTAGAATCTCTGTGATCTTTGAAGGAACCTAATAAAGGCAGATCAATTCCAGGACATTACAAAAACCAATCCTCACTAGACAAAATTCACCGGAATACCCTTGTATCTATTATTTTTTATTTTGGAAGACATTCAATACAATGAGGAAGATGCATATATTTTATTTTTTGCCGGAAACTGTTCAATTTATTAGAATAAATATGTGTAAATGCAAAAAAAACTTTTTTCTTGAAAGCAGTACCACAATTTTATAAAATGGGCCATTAAAATACTATGGATAACACAAGCGACGCCTCGCGAATTGAAACGATATTCTATTGGTTTGACGTCACCCGCCGTTCTCGTCGACGCGCGATGGCCAGCAGCAGCCAGACGTGTTCCGTTTATGTACGTATTTATGTGGCGTACTAAGACATTTTTGTTGCTTTTAGCGTTGATTGAAGGAGCTTTTTATGCTTTTTTGTGCAGTTATTATTTGTATGTGTTGTGTGTTCTGAGAATTTTTTAAGTAATGGCAGATTCCGGGTTTGTAAAAGCACAATAAGATAACTTGCCAAAAGTCGATGCTTTTATATTGGCTGCTTTTATAAATACAAATTCCCAATTTATTGGTGCTGAATTACGAGGAAAAACACAGAGAGGTATGTAACATTTATTCTTTGTAATACTGAGGCATATTTAAGTATAAGTAGGTACCTACTGTTACGAACTTTTATATAGTTATAAATATTATGTTATAAACTTATTTTTCAGATCAGGTAGGGAGACGTATGGAGATAATGCTGTAGGTTATGTAGAAGTGAAAAGTGACAAAAATATTTGTTTAGTACGTGGAAAAATAACTCTAGAGCATAGCGTGAAAAAGAAAGTTTTTTTTATGTATTGACACCCCCTTACCCTTGTTATTTTTAAATATTGTTTTTTTACGAATTTATAGAAAATAAATTGTTTATCAGTAATGAAAATATTATACAAGGTGTCCCATAAGCAAACGCCAAAATTAAGTTACTTTTTTAAGTGAAACACCCTATATATTTTTGGATTCTTCGGAAATATCTAAATATTCTAGATATATTTCATGTATAATATCCTATACCTATCTTCAAATGTTTACGAAATATTGACAGTTGAAAAGCGAAAAATACCTACAATTTTCCGCACCAACTTTTTTGAGACACCCTGTATAACTAGAATTAGTTTTAAAAGAGAGTATATGAAAAACCATGCAACTTTTTTATTGATAATGTTTTCTTCTAAAACTTGCAGTTAAGGCTATATGTGGGTGTCAAAATATAATGAATAACCCGGTACACACATTCAAATTTCATATACCTATGTAAGACAATATACATAGTAACTTACATCAAAATGATCTTTACAACAATAAATCGTAAAAATAGAGGATAATTTAACGTTTTTCTTTTCATCTCTTCTCATCATGGCCTTGGACCATTTTTTTCTGTTTTCGCTCACATCCATTACTATTTATAAATATCACTAATTACTAATTATGCATTATTTAACACAAATAACTAAAATTTTGACTCGGATTCAACGGCGTTTAAAAGCAAACTGTGTAAAATAAACACGCGTCTGGCTCCACTCAACCAGAAGAACGGCGGCTGACGTCACAGCGGCAAGGCGCGGTAGAGAGCGTTTGCCCGGCCATTTAAATTAACAATATTTAATTATTTTATATTAGAGGCATTTCTTAACCGATATCAACGATTTTTTTTTGTTCAATTTGTAATTATATGAACTATTTTTTAAAACCATTATTTAAAAACATGCATTTTCCTCATTGTATTTACCTACTTATCACCAAAAAATTAATTCAGAAGTAAAGTTATTTTACTAATAAATTTAATATTTATTTAATTTAAATTGTTAGTACTGATCCTATTCGATTAAAATCGACTCAAGCTTTAAACAAAGATACATATTAATAAATCATCAAGCATTGCACTTATATTTTGAAGAGAAAGGCTCGAAATGAAAGGAATGTATTTGAAAAACAAAAGGAAAACACTAATAAACAAATATATATTTCTTTAAATCAAATAGGCAGTATTTTTATTTTAAATCTGATATACCACTAATAATGATCATGTATATTTTATATGTACGAGTATATGCATAAAATCAATAGATCTTATTAATTCAATTATGACCATTAATGAGGCCAAAATATGTTTGACTTAATTTGATTCATTAGCATTTTTTCTCTCAGTATAGAACTGCCGGCGAACTGTATATGAATGGGCACCTTTAGTATTCTCTAGCATCTTTTAATAAAAACTGATAGTTAATAATAAGTTATGAAGAAAAACAGCTTTTACCATCCTAAGAAATAAATTAAAGTAAAATTTAAAATTTTATTCTTTCAATATCGAAGTTGTTCTGAATAGAAACCAGCAGGAATTCGCTGTGAGAGAGAGCTCTGAGCTCGTTCGAGTGCAACTCTGCAATTTAACCGAATCTATTATCGATTCTCTTTTACCTCTCGCCCCTCACGCCTCACTTTAACCCTCCCCACACCCTCACGAAAGTTATGGTTTTGGGGAGCTGTCGAAGTTGAGAAATTCTCGTTTTTCTAACACTTTGCCCACGAGCCGGGGCTATATTTCACACCCCTTTATTCGATATAACAATGGATCGTTTTTAGTTTTGATAATATGTTTATTAATTTAAAGTTTAATTGTTTTTTTTTATATTTTAATCATTAAATTATCTCTTGAGAAAAACATTTAACATTACATATGGCATTTAACGTTTTATGTAAAACCAGCTAGGTATTTTTACTAAAATGAAGAAGGAAATTAAAGATAAAAGATTGTACTATATCCATATTGTAGTACATTTTTAGGCAACTTCATTATTTTTAAGATTTTGATGATCAAATATCAACAAAATGTTCCTTATATTTGGACTAAATTTTCTCGAAAATAAAGACAAAATTTAAAATTCCGTTACAATACGGAAATAGATTGAAGTTTTGTGATTACAGTGATATAGTCTGTGAAACGCAATGAGGTTATAAGGGGGGGAGGCGACATAAGCTATCGAGAAATTTACCCAGTTACGCCATATTGGTACTGGCAATTCTGACAGTTCACTTTTCGAGGTTAAGTGCGTTGCTGCGAGTGTTTTTTTAATTTTCCAAGACTATTCCTGTGTTTTTATTTGAATATTTGGACTTTCCGAACATGTCTTCGTGTGCTGTAAGTAGTTGTTGCAGTCGACAACGTGTAGAGAGGAAGAAATCCACTGAAATTGGTGTTGAATCACAGGTAAGTGTAAACATAATACAGGACCTGATTAAATTATTTTCGTATTTTCCATTTAACTAGTTATGCGTTTATTAATTAAATATTAAGTGTTTCTATATTGACAAAGTGTTTAGTTATTTAATACTTCGTTAGAGGCAATTAAGTAATTAAAACATGCCTCGACTTCTATTCTTGTAAAAAAAATTCTTAACAATATCTGTTATTTTTACTACATATACTTTCTTTGACAGGAAAGAGTATTTTGCTAGGCCAAATTTAAAAGTTTTGTTTTAACTACGGTTTATTTTTCTATTTTTACACTAAGATTTTGTACTTAAACATTTATTTACATTCCTTTTTAGCATCTGCTAGCATATACTATGTACAAACTTTAAACTGACATTACATAAATTTAAACTCCAAATTTACTATTACTACCTATAGCACTTTTAGAATATCTATTTAATTGTTAATTTTGTTTATTTATTTGTGTAAAATTAAATATAAACTTAAAAAATAAGCATAGACGTTCAGATTTGGGGTGCCTGAATTGCCTTTTCATATGTCTATTCGTCTGTCTTTTCATTCTCATCATAATTAGGCAGTATATGAACTACCTTTCTTCATTAATTTTCTTTCATTATGCGAACAAGCAACAATCATCCCTACAAATAAAAAATAACTAATTAGATGATATTTTATTTAAAATTTTTATATTTATTTTTAGTTTTTCAGTATTGAATGGATGTAGCCTTTGTTTGATATTTTACAGTTTCATTTTAAATTGACTTATCGCTTCGTAAAATTCCAATTCTAAAGTGCTGGTTCTTTGTAACCCAATTTTTCGTAAACTAGCTGTATGCAATTCACCAAAAGCAAAAACAAGTTCAATGAATGATGAATGTTGGTATACTATAAATGAGAGTATTTATTTAAAAACTACTATGTCTCCTATTTATCACCTTCCTTCTGGACTAAGGAATCGTAGGAACAATATTTTTGATGTCTTCTTAAAAAAATGCTCTTTATCTGAGTAGTTTCATGCAATGGAAAATTGAAGAATCCACAAAAATTTCTACCTAACTCTCTAATAGGTTTATGAAAATCTAGCTTGAAAAGAAACATTTAATAAAAGTTTTAAAACTCATTATTGTAGTTGGGCAGAAAATCCGTTAAAATATTAAACAGAAACCTAGGCATAAAGAAAAAAAGCAGACTTTATATATTTTTTTAATAACGCTAAACCCCGATCCCACGCTTCAATACAAACTCTATTTAACTCTAATTTATACCCCTCACCCCCTTCCCGAAAAAAAAACGCTCTCCATCCACTCAACACACCGTCGACAACAATGGCGCGGGGCGCAACTTCTATACACATTTATACTTCGCAAACCCGTCCTCCTCCTCCTCCTCCTCAAGAACCCATTATACCATCCCGAACATAATATAATATATATTTGCCATTGAAAACTAGTTTGTATTCCTATTCAAGCGCTCATTGTGCCTCGGCACATAATACAGTAAACACACCGGACGCCTTTGCTCCGCCTCTTTTCTCTCTACGTCACCCAGAATGCGGGCGTGGCCTAAAGTATGCGGCGCTCGGATTGGCCGAGGGGTTAGTTCGGTGACAACCAACAGTTTCAGCAGTGTAGCCACCGTGTGGTAAGTTTGCTAGCGGATGGAGAGGAGTGTCTATCTCACAGTTGCCGTTGTTTGTAGCGTGCGGATGCGATCGATGTTTTGTGGCGATTTTGTTGAGGTTTCGCGTTGAGCATGAGCCTACCGGGTAGCGGCGTGAACATGTCGGCGATAATGTCGCAGCACCCGGTGCTGGGCGCTATACCGCCGTCGTTTTTTCTCAGGGCTTCGGAGCGGTACCAGAGAACGCCCAAGTGCGCGAGGTGCAGGAATCATGGAGTGGTGTCAGCACTTAAAGGCCACAAGAGGTATGTTTGATTTAGTTTAAATAAAACCTAATTGGTGTATACAAAAAAATACCGTGATCCAGCGGCATGATATTTCTACAGGGTGATACAAAAAACATGTGCCAACTCTCGTTTGTTACGTAAAATTAAGATTTATTTTTATATCAACATATAGGTTGGATTCTGCTTTGTCTCAATTTTTTTCGATTTATTATGATTTTTTTCATGACACACCCTGTATATTATTGCATTTTTGGCTTCCTTTCAGATCACTTTACATAATCCTAAAATATGAGTAAATATTTTTCGATAGTTTCAGAGATATTAAAATAAAAAATATATATTTTTCAGCCATTCTTAAAAAAAATATTAAAAATATAAGTATATCTACTGTCCTGAAATCAAAACTATATTAGATATTTACTTTAGATGGTCTGTACATACTTTGCTATAAATATGGTAACCGTACATCATACAGTATGTTGTATGTTCAAAATCCTTCGCCGAACTTTCTAAAATATAAAATAATTTTTCTTTGTTTCTTTAAATGGAACACCCTTAATGTATTTTTAGTAAACGGAGAATTAAAAAATGAACATTTTTTGTATTTAGAGTATTTCAAAAATTTAATGGTTTCGCAGATATTCGCGGTTTTATATTTCATATGGCATTTTCCACTGTAAATTTTTATCAAAGCCACCCAACGATTTTTATCTCGTATTTTACTGTAAAAAGAGCCATATGAGATAAAACTGAATGTATCTGCGAAACCACTAAAAATTATCCCATCTAATAAAAAAATAATATACAGGGTTTTCCATTAAAAAAAAATCATCCCGATCCACTCACATTTTTTTGAGCCACCCTATAGAAGTTAAAATATTTTCCTGAAATGCATCTTAGTACTTTAGGTTTGAGCTTAGACAAAATTCCCAAGTTTTTTATTCTAGGAGCTACAGATGCCCGACGCACTTTTGCCGGACCCTGTATATTTCATTAGGTCTGCCTCTTCTATCAGTCCATTCCATCTCCCCTATATTTACCCTTATTATGACCCAATTACATTACAGGATTATTACTTTCCTACTAGATCGGTTTATGACGTATTTATGTAGTGTATAGAGATGAGAAGAATGTGACGTTTTCTTGACACAATGCAAACGGCAGCTTTTCGTCTTTGCGAGCAGTCGTAGGTTCGTTTTTTATTTTTTTATTAGGTGTTATAATTAATCAATTAAACAATAATTATTGGGCGCCAGGACATCCACTCAGAAATAATAGATCTCTTTACCCCAACTTAAATTTATTTATAATTAAAAAAATATTAGACAAGGACAGTAATTGATGGATGAAGTTAGGTTTTTAAAATGAATTAATACTTAAGAATAATAAGTAATCAAAATTTAAATGTATGACATAAAAAACATAGTATCACTTGTTCTGTTGATTAAAAATCATTGACATTATTAATATTAAATTACGCAAACTAAAAAGTTAAATAAGTATATACCTCAAACTAACGCAGTTCATGAACCTTGTTGTATGCGCACATAATGCCGTAAATCAATCAAAAGTTAATTAAATAAATATGTCAAGTGACACCATCACAAAATACTTGACAAGATATTAAAATATATAAAAATTTGTATATTTAAAATTAAGAAAATTATGTTTTAATAATTAAATTCAAAAATGATTTCTAATAATTACATAATTAATTACGTAATTCGTCAACAGTAAGTAAATAGATTTGAAATGAATTAATAAAAAAATATGAAATCTGGCCTGATCGTCCCTCTGGATGGTGTGTGGACGCTAGGTGTGGGAGCTCATCTCCAATCTACCACACCTCGAACAGCCCCTTACAATACCACCAGCCATATGGAAATCAAACATGGATCATAGATACAGGCTCTCGTACCTCAAACCACCAATCACGACATATAACTCGCCATGTAACTGGACGGTAAAACCCTGGAAACGACACAACTTATGCACAAAATGCATTTTAGCAATTTTAGAACTTACCTCACGATGCTGAGGGTTTACCCAAAAATTAAACTCATGACAGGACAACCAAAACCACGTTTAGAAAATCTGTAAAGAGATAAGGTTGAACCAAAAGAGTAAAAATATGATGAAGATCAAACTTACCACCAAAATACCCATGAAAACTTAAAATTGATCCCTTCCCCAAATGCCAGGAACCATTAGGACTACATTCCAAAGGTTAATAGAATTAAAAAGTTTAAACTTTTTCGGATGACTTCAGATAAGTATGTCGATGTTTAAGCCACGAAATCTGAATCTAAAATGGTGACTTCCGATAGTCAAAAAGATGCTCTAGTTATGGCGCCGTCAAGGGCAAGTACGATCAACAGAGTATCCGAAATTAGTCAGAACTAATTTGGTAGGCTGTATGTTGGGTTGCCAATAGTATCGTTTTATTAAAACGTTACAAGAAATATCTCTTATGGGACTTTACTTAAGCGGTCACGAAAATGGGAAGAATAAGGGTTCACCAAATAACCACAGTGGCGCTAATGACGCACAAATCTAAAAAATAAAAAGTAACCATATAGATAAGAGAATAAAAGTAACATAACCAAACATTACCAAAAAAGTTTTGTTTTTATTTTTTAGAATATAAAACAATTATTTTTATATATTAGAGGCCCAGTCTATTGCTGCTGAATAAAAATCGATAATTTATTTTATTTGACATGATAATAAAATTTGGATATTTTTGAAACCCGCGCCTTCACGTCAAATATTTATCTCTTTTGAATCATTTCCGGTTCTAAAAATTTTCGGCGCATATTTTAAATTTTAAGGTTTTGCTACAGCAGCGCCATCTTAAGTCTTCCCTTTTGTATTGACTATTTTTAATGCACGAAGATATTTCTCCTTACCTCTACACTCCATAGACGTATTTTAACGTTTGTTTGAATGGTGGACTAGACAATGTATTATGAAATAATACTATTTTTTATACAAGACGATAAAATGGTATTTTGTCGTCGACCGAAAAGATTTAAATTTAATAATTAATTAATTTCGGGAGACGACAATGCAATTTTATCGTCGTGTATAAAACAATATTATATTTTATCCATAGCGAGTTACGTTTTAAAAAATATTCAGAAATTATTATTTCAAGGAATTTATTACGAGTAGAAAAAATATTCTGCTGGGTTGGCGTTGGTTTCTATGTAATTTGACAAATAAATAAAGCTGCCTCTTTAGTTGTCAGTTTTGAGTCAATTTTTTTAATTCTCTTTCGTGTCGATTGCTGTTTGAATTGGAGCCAGAAATGGCTCAAAACGAAATAAGTAATTTACCAACGGATATTCAGGAAAAGGTTACAAACGCCATATCCAAACTACTTCCATTTAAATCCCGAATAACTTATGAAAAGGAATACAAAACTTTTCAAAAATGGAAGCAATTAAAAAACGTGCGAGAAGAAATAGAGTTTTTAACTTACCATCGCTGTTAAAGTATCATTTAATCTACCCCATGTTTGGAAACTACCCATAAGGACAATGTAAACACTATTTGGCGCTATTCTTGCAACGGTCGCGACTCAAATCTTTTGAAAATTTCGAAACGGTTTGGCAAATATTATTTATTCAAATTTTTTATTATTTTCTTTTAATTTTATAAATTAAATAGAGTGTGTTGCATACAAGAAACTTTAATTTATATAAGGATTTATATCATGTATGAAATATCTATGAATCATTGGAAACCGACGTTATGTCACGATCCACGATGGTATTTGTAGTTCACAGTTCACAGCACAGCTTTTTAAGTTTTTAATACCACTTTTTCACAATTATCACGGGTTTGACTAAATAAAACTTAAATTAAACTCACAAGATAGCAGTAATTACTTTGAAAATGGACGCTTTAAACGCTTTTTGGATTTTTTTCAATGAGAGCAGTTTAGATTTTGAAAGGTTTTATAAATTTTGAAGATTCTGACTTTTTCAAGAGATATGGACCAGAGAAAATTATTTCTGTCTTTGTTTGCGGTTGTTCTTAGCAACCGCTATAGCAGCGCCAGACCGCGTACAACGGTCGCGACCCAAAATTTTGACGAGCATTCTAATCTAATGATGTACCCTTGCGGTTAAAGTTCTATTTTATCTTCTATTTTTGATAGATATAAGGCAATTTTAACAGTTGCTATGGAAAAAATACATTATTATAACAAATCAAATGTTCATAGTCGCGGACCACAGGTTATGAAATGATTTTCTAGAGCATTTATACCTTTGACTAAGAAGACTAAGGAAGGAGCATATCAAAAATCTTAGGTACACCGCGATGGGCCTCAAATATGGCCGACTTAAATTCCGGTTTATCAGTGTCGTTCTAATTTTATTTAAAAAATGTAAAACTATGATGTAGGGTAGACGTGGGGTAGACTCAATAATTTGTTGTTTTATTTTACGTTGTGAATAAATGTTGGTAGTTATTAAAATTGTTATAAAAATATATAATTCTAATAAAAATAGATAAGTTATAATAAGTATTTATTAACACAAACATCCGATACGCTACTGAAGCAGGTAAGTCAAATTAACGTATCTAAATTCTTTTGACATCTAATCTTTGACAAGTAATAAATAAAAGCTAAAATGCAAGAAAAATATATAATTTAGTTAATATAAGTGAATTTCATAAATGATCGGTTTACTACACGTATGTATATTATATAGTCACTTACTAGCGAAAAGTTGTTCCATTATTTCACTCAGTTTTTGCCGAGATCTACCGCACGCTACACAACCAACTATTTTAGAGTCTTTTTCGTTAAATCGCGATAGTGTCACTGTTAATTTAAGTTCTGCCACAATTTCCATCTAGATTTACTACCTTTATACAACTATCAGTAGTAGAATAAATAATAAATAACATAAAATAAGCTCCGTAAAGACTGACAAATCCACAAAATTTCAAATCAAATTCAAATGTGTCAAATGAATCGTCAAACAGAACTGTCAAGGATCCCC